GTTATAGGAACTAGGTGTTCCAGTAATACTTCTTTACATATGCTGGACAGCGGTCCCCCTTCCTGACTCCTTTTTTCTACTTGTGTTAGGTTCGGCGCTATTTTAAGCAGACAACATGGGTAAAGTCGGTATTCAGCTGTTCTGCCTTTCATATTTCTCCAGCCTCGCCACACGTCAGAACCTACTGTGTCCTCATTCTTTCTCTTGCTCGGATCAAAACTTCAAGAGACCCTTTTTTCTTATTTTTTTTGCTATTGTCTCCCTTTCTATGAAAGCATGGTCTGCATATAGTCAAGATCTCTGCCATAGCAACTTGCAGCCCCTCCAGATGTTATTCAACCAATTCCCATCAAGGTCAGCCAGCCTGACTCATGGTGAGGAATGTTTATGTTACGTGCCATCAAGCCAGACCCAACTTACAGCGATCCTAATAGGGTTTTTTCAAGACAGGAGAAATGTTCAAGAAATGTGTTTACCAGTGTCAACCCCAGTAAGCTTCGAAGGCCAAATAAGGATTTCATCCCACGTCACTTGAATTCTAGAATATTACTCTACTACACCACCCTGGCAGTAACAAAAAATCCATCAATTTTGTACTACATTGCAATGCACATATTTGCCCACATTATTTAAACACCTCCAAGAAAGTAAGGACTAGAAATTAGGCAAGTTCAAAGCAAGCAAAAGAGAAACTTTTAAAAATCCAAGAGTTTAGCATCTACAGGAGGCAAACACTGAAATCCTGTTGCTTAGGATAGAGTGACTAGAATAGTCATTCAACTTCTTCAAAAAGTCCACTGGTTCAACAAGTCTATCCTGGTTACAACTTGCTACGCTAAGCAACAGGATTTCAGCCAAAGAATCCTGCCCAACTTGTAATTAGTGAGTTGTAATTTGACAAACTAGAACAAGTTGAGAGGAGGGCAACAAGGATGATTAAGAGGCTGGAAACCAAGCCCTAGGAGGAGAGACTGAAAGAACTGGGCATGTTTAGCCTTGAGAAAAGACGACAGAAGGAAGATAGGATGACACTTTTCAAATACAGTGGTACCTCGCTTTACGATTGCCCCGCATTACGACGAATCCGCTTTATGACAATCTTTTTGCAATCGCAAAACAATGGTCTAAATGGGGGAATTTCGCTTTGCGATGATTGGTTCCCTGCTTCAGGAACTGATTCTTCGCAAAATGATGATTTTTAAACAGCTGATCGGTGGTTTCAAAACGGCCACTGGGTAACTAAAATGGTTCCCCGCTGTGTTTAGGGACTGATTCCTCACTATACAGGCAGCGAAAATGGATGCCGCACGGAGGGTCTTCACTGGACGGCGAGTTTTAAGCCCATTGGAACGCATTGAAAGGTTTTCAATGCGTTTCAATGGGCTTTTTATTTTCGCTTTACGATGTTTTTGCTTCACAGCGATTTTCCTGGAATGGATTATCGCCGTTAAGCGAGGCACCACTGTACTTGAAAAGGAGTCATACAGAGGAGGGGCAGGATCTGTACTCAATCCTCCCAGAGTGCAGGACGCACAACAATGGGCTCAAGTTAAAGGAAACCAGATTTCAGATGAATATCAGGAAAAACTTCCTAACTGTTCGAGCAGTATGATGATGGAACCCATTACCTTGGGAGGTGGTGAGCCCTCCAATGCTAAAGACATTCAAGAGAAATCTGGGCAGCCATCCGTCAGATCAGCTTTGATTTGGATTCCTGAATTGAACCTTAGAGGCCCCTTCCAACTTCGTTACTCTCCAACTACAAGCTGTACAGGCTCTCTATAGTTTCTGGGTTTAATCTGAAATGCCGGTTTTAATTTTCAAAACCCCATTTAGCTGGGAACTGGTTTAACCAAGTCGGCCTTGTCCTCATTATTTCCATAGAGTTTAAGATTTTCCTCAGAGACCCTACCACTGAGAATCCTCTTCCCACAATGTGAAATAGCTAATTTTTCAGGAAGATAGGTATTTTTGATATTGGACTAGCATCAGGTTATAACACTGCCTTTCCAAGACCTGGCATCATCTCTATAATCCATCTGGTACTCTTTAGATTTGAAACCTGTGTTAGAGTTTTTAGGATGCTGTGAGTTTTATCTCCCTGCTTCCACTTTTTTATTTTATGCTGCTTTGATTCCATGGTTTTGTTTGTGCTTTCTTAATTTAAATTGCTTTTTATAAAGCCCCCGAAGAACACTGCTATGGTGTGGCATATTCACGTCGTAAGTAAAAATAAGTAACTTATTTGTATGCAGAAGCAGCTGAAGAAAAGGACTGCCTTGTTTTTAAAATGAACATGATGGTCCTAAAGTGAAAAAATTCTTATTAAGGTGTAGGTGTTAAGTATAGCTATGCATTATTTGGAAACAGATGGGGTTTTATATATCACCTTAGTGAAAAAAGTCTTATTAAGGTGTAGGTGTTAAGTATAGCTATCTAATTTTATGCATTATTTGGAAACAGATGGGGTTTTATATATCACCTTAACGCTGCAATTACTTCATGCCTACCTTTGTGTCTCTATTTGTTTTGGATTTAAAATAGAGGGTGTTGGAGTTTTGTTTTCATTCCAATAAGAACAAAGTCTGCAGATCGTTACCTTAACAAGGCAACCTTCATGTTCGGAACAGTGTGTTGCTTTTTGCCCTATTGATGCATGCCTTCATCTCTCTTTTCAGGATTCAAGTCTGTTCTTCTGGCCCTGAAGCAATTACTTAAACATGTTAGAAGTTCAGAAACTTCTGAACTGTAACCCCCAGCAGCTCTCGCCACGTGTAACAGCCTGTAACTCGACAGGTAATGGTGACAAGAGCTGATGGGGGTTGCAGTCCTGTGTACCTAGAGATCCAGTTAGGGTTCACTCCAGAACAGACAAGGAAAGCAGTCTTGTCCTGTTGCTAATTGCAACAGACTGTAATTCAACATGGTTCAAAATTGGGAAAGGAGTACGACAAGGCTGTATATTGTCCCCCAGCTTATTTAACTTATATGCAGAATACATCATGCGGAAGGCTGGACTGGAGGAATCCCAAGCTGGAATTAAGACTGCGGGAAGAAACATCAACAACCTCCAATATGCAGATGATACCACTCTGATAGCAGAAAGTGAGGAGGAATTAAGGAACCTTGTAATGAGGGTGAAAGAGGAGAGTGCAAAAAATGGCCTGAAACTCAACATCAAAAAAACTAGGATCATGGCCACTGGTCCCATCACCTCCTGGGAAATAGAAGAAGATATGGAGGCACGTCAGATTTTATCTTCCTGGGCTCTATGATCACTGCAGATGGAGACAGCAGCCACGAAATTAAAAGACGCCTGCTTCTTGGGAGGAAAGCGATGACAAATCTTGACAGCATCTTAAAAAGCAGAGACATCTTTGCCAACGAAAGTCCGCATAGTCAAAGCTATGGTTTTTCCTGTTGTGATGTATGGAAGTGAGAGCTGGACCATAAAGAAAGCAGATTGCCGAAGAATTGATGCCTTTGAATTGTGGTGCTGGAGGAGGCTCTTGAGAATCCCCTGGACTGCAAGGAGAACAAACCTATCCGTTCTAAAGGAAATCAACCCTGAGTGCTCACGTTGTGCATATATAAATCTAGTGCCTCTATATCAGCACTGAGAAAGGACCATGGGTAGGGTTAAGATGTTTTGCTTCAAGAATCAAACCCACACTCACTACGAGACGTAAGGATATGTCTTGAATACTCTTGAAATTGTCTAGCCAATATGGCCAGCAGCTATGCTAACTAGGGAATTCTGGGAGTTGTAGTCCAAAAATCATTTTATATGCCCTTCCTGCCCTGTGTCTTTTATACCAAAGGTTGCCAATGTGTTGCTCTCCATGCATTATTCTACAGCTTCCAATTGCCCCCACTACCAACTAAGCTGGCTAGAGATGGTATTTTCAGATTATCTGGACTACAGATACCACGTGAAACAACATTCTGCGAATTCTACCTGAGTTGCACACATCTAACAGACACCTAAAGGAGGTTCGCCTGAGAGAAAAGGCCTCCACCAAAAGGATTTGAGGCTTAGCTAGGCCTAGTTCTACTCAAACTTCCTGTTGAGAGAGAAAGCTCCCAGCAAGCCCTGCGGCTGGAACAGGAAGCCTGGCCAGAGCTAGGCCTAGCTAAGCCTCAAAGCCTTCCAGGGTAAGCCTTTTCTCCAAAGTCAGGCACATTTAAATGTCTGCACAACTCTCAGAATTGAGAAGTATGGTATTTGTAGTCCACCCTCCCAAAAAATTATGTTCGGACTATGGCTCCCAGAATCCTTCGGCCAGCATACAGTTACAGTCCCAAAAGTAGCTTTTTCAAGCTCTTGGGCATAGCATCATACAGTTAAGTCATCTTGAAAGCCAAACCGTTCCACCCACTACAGGAAAGTACCTTGGTACAGCAACCATCATCTTTGCAAACCAAAACCCACATGCCCAACATCATTTACTAACACTGGCTAATTGCATATGCCAATGGCTACGAGACAGGACTTCCTGTAAAGTATAATCCAATTTCCTGATGAAAGGAAGCAAAGTGGATCGGCAGGTGTTTCTTCTGCAAGACCCCACAGAGGCGAAAATGCACTAATATATGATCTGTCGCAAGAGAGATTTCATACGAAATGTATCACAGTAACATAGCAGCGCTTTTCCCAGGACTCAGTGATAACAGGGACAGCTGCCTGCATCAACATTTTGCATCCATGTCAGAAAAACAATGATTTTGTACCTACATATGTTTATTAATAGGCAAATCCCACAGTTCAGCGGACCGTATTTTATGATGTCTTTCCAAGACACTTGTCTCTTTAAGAAAGCTATCATCCTGAATATACCGAACGGTTGAATACATCTCTTGAAATCAGCCTTTGCAATGGATACGTTATAAACCGACCCCGATCAAAAGATCCATAGCACAGATCTGAAAGGGTTTATTCAATGCCTACCTTGTTCTGGAGACAGCATCTTTAAATATTTAAGGCACGAAAAATGACTTACCAATGTATTGGAGGAATTGTAATCTTCTGCAGATTTATCTGGAAAAATAATAACATTACTCCAGATTACCTACAGTACATATGTCATCTAGTTTTATTTTATGCATTTTGCATTCCTACATCTCACCTTCCTTATCTGGAGCATAAGGAAGACCAAACTGATATGGAAAAAAATAATCATGCAACTTGTATAGTTATCTTGGAACATAGCAGAAAATAGGAATTAATACCAAAAACAATCTAGATAAGACAAGAGAACAGGAGAAAATGTAGAATATCACATGATAAGAATGATGCCGCCCGGGGTTTCAAATCTGTAATTCTCCTCCCTAGTTGGGTCTGAATTTCTTGCTCATGGTTGGCTACTTAGACTGGAAAATATTAATCCTTTAACCAATACATACAAATTAACGGGTGTTCTCATCAGCAGAACTGAAGTACAAACACTCTTCTTCTCGGATGACACTGGCTTTAAAGTCCTTCCACATCCCAAACTTGCTTTTCAGACATTTAATTGGGATTGATTTCCACTTTCAGCTGAATTTTGTAATATAATAATCATCTTCAAACTGCAGAGTTGGAAGGGACCTTACGGATCATCAGGTGCCCCTTTACCCCTGCCAAGGAGGCTCAGTGGGGAATCGAACTCACAACCTCTGCTTCCCCAGCCAGATACTTAAACCATGCCAAGTTCACTTGCACGGTGGTTCTTGGGGCCCAGTTTTTATGAAAAAATCATGAAACAATGAACTTAAAGTCTGTCCAACTTTTGTTTTCTGTTTCATACCAGGAGGACGGACGTGGAAATTATTTGCAACATTGCTACAGATTTATTGACTTCAAATTCTAGTCTAGCTAAAAAGGACTGGGGACTTGGATAGGAAATGAGAATGGCCATCTAAACATTTGGCCAGACATTTTGAGCCACAAAGATCTGTAATTTTAGGATTGAGCATAATTACAGATTCCCCATGCCTGAAATTCTATTCTATTCTTTATTTTTTCCTCTAATTTTCCCAATTCATTCCCCCTCCCAAATCTGTTACCAGCTAGCATGATAAAGATTTCTGGAGAGCTTGAAAGCTTGTATACTCTATAATTCTCTGGTCATCCTAATAAGGCTATATTTGCCTGCCCTTCTTTTGATGATGACAGAAACAGTTCCAAAACATGGGGACACCTTTTCTGACAGACATCTAATCCTGCCATGTGTTTCCCTCCCCCTGTTTTTTAATCTTAGGTTTTAGTACCCTTCACTTCATTTTGCCAGGAGTTCATGGAGCCTCCTGTGTGAATCTGAAGGGTAACACACCTCTGCAATATTGTTGTCGAATTCCTGGTTCTCAAAAATTCCCACCCATCATCTTGCGGAAAACCACAGACAGTTTTCCCCTCTTGCCTTGCTGTCCAGCTATGACCAAAAGAGCAACTCTTCTCCCTGTTGTGACCTGTGATTATGACAATAAACATATTTACTACTATCTACTCTTATTGGCCCTTAGGAAAAAGAGGAGAGGGAGAGAAAGCGACATAGGTAGCTACTGTACATTCAATCGCACAACTGTCTACTTGGCATGAGCAAACCCAACAGGATTCTGCTTCTAAATGGACTGAAATGTGAAATGAAGCAACAAAGACTGTGTGCGCGTTCAAAGGAAATGCACAGGTGTCTTATAGCTGCATGCCATATTTGTGTGCATTACAACTATGTAATGTGTCGTTCAAATAGTCTCTTCAAAAAGCTTTGGTGGGCAAGAATGGTGCAAACTGGCTTCAAGAGTATCTCAACTCTACACACAGTGATAGCAGCTTGATACCACTTTAAATGGGATTTGTAGTCTGGTGACATACTTAGAAGAATTCTCTGCTGTAGTTCAGAGATGCCCCCCTCCCCCGCCCCCGAGCTCTCTAGCAGAGAATTCTAAGTACCTTCGATAGCAGCTCAATACCACTTTAAATGGTTCCATTTAGTCTGGTGACATACTTAGAATTCTCTTCTGTAGTTCAGAGATGCCCCCCCCCCCCAAGCTCTCTAGCAGAGAATTCTAAGTACCTTTCCAAACTGCAAATCTGACAATTCCCTAGGATGGAAACATTAAACAAGGAAGGCAGTGTCAGATACACTATGCAGTGTAGATACACTATCGTTTCAGGGGCATCTTTACAAAATAACCACCACTCCCACAAAGAAGCCAATGCAAAACCCACCGAGCCCAACCCTGCGGCCTGAACGTTTTCTTGCTTGTTTTCTTTGTTTAAAAGACCTGATCAGGATTCCTTACCTGTGAAGCTCATATATTTCTGGCTGTTGGAAGTCTTCTTAGAATTATAGAATTCTAACACATCGAGCACTGCTTGGGGATTCTTCTTCTGTTCCGATTTGGTGATGTTGGAGGTTTGCAATAAGCGGGCCCATTGCTCTGGCATGCCCTGGTGGAATGATAACAAAAGCGGTCAACCTCATGGCTGTGTTGCAGCTTTAATTCGGACGGCCTTGCATACTGTGCTTAAGGTTGGGGCCTGTTGATTCAATTGCACCAGCAGAGGAGTCTGGATTCTCAGTCAAGAAGCCAGTGCACTGGTGGGACTGGGACATGGGGGGCTCAGGTTCCAGCCCACACTGAGCCGTGAAACTTACTAACTGGCCTTGGGCCATTCTGACATACCTCAAAAAGAGGTGATGAGGGGATGGAAAAGAAAAAAGCTTAAACTTTTGGAAGATAAGGTACAGATGATACAACAAAGGAAATAAATGTGGGTAACGAGACTGAGTACTCAAGGTAAATCCACCCATTTCGCTGAGAGTTTCTGTGCATCTCATGAAGCAAACTAAGGGCACTATATAAAGACCACTAGTTTATTGATTTGAGTTATGTCCTACCAAAAGTGGGTCCTAAAACAACTGTGCTTCAATCTGTTAGATATCTCCAGCAATCATTCTCTCTTGCTTGAAAATACAAGGTCCAACCAAGCAACACCTTTGCATAAAAAAGTCAACCATGACAGTGGTTAAGCGGTTAACATCATAAATGAATCCCACAATGCTTCTTTTCAGCTAACTAAGTTTGCTTTAAAAGTTTTAAATGCTTTTAACCATTTGTTGTATTTTACCATCTCCCCCCACCCACCCAGCTATAAAACTAATTAAATAGATAGCTTGTCATGCTTTTATGGTGCACAGAATCTATTGATGAGGAAGACCATGTTTCTTAGCCTCCATCAGCCAACAAGCTGTACTCTGTGTTTTTTTTAATGTGCTTTGATGTAGCTCATGTGGTTTTTCTTTTGTCCCCCCCCCCCCGGGCAAGTATTTGTATTTTCATTGTCTTTTAGTGATATAAGTCACCTTAGGTCCTTTTAAGGAGAAGGGTCAGGGCAAAAAATATAGGTATTTTAAATAAAATGGCAAGTATTTGTATTTTCATTGTCTTTTAGTGATATAAGTCACCTTAGGTCCTTTTAAGGAGAAGGGTCAGGGCAAAAAATATAGGTATTTTAAATAAAATAAGTAACAAAATAAATATCAGGGTGATCACTAGGAAGCTCCCAATATTGCTAGATTGGACCAAGTTTATATTCAAGCAGCTAAGAATCATCTGTGGTGCATTCCTGTTAAAATCTTGCCCTGTTTGTTTCCTCCCACCCCCACGGCTTCTCCTTACCGTGAATTCTCCTGTGACAGCATCGAATCCAACATGAATCGTGTGTTCAAAATCTGAAGGAAGGGAAATTTCTGGTCTTTCTTTCTCCTTCTTCTTGCTGGCTGTTGAGAACATGCAAAACTTACTTACTTACTTACTTAAGGGTACTTTATGAAATAGAGGAGAGATAAACCTCATGAGAAGCTTATAATTTAAAATTCACTTACTTACTTACTTACTTACTTACTTACTGCAGGGTGCTTTATGAAATAGAGGAGAGATAAGCCTCATGAGAAGCTTATAATTTAAAATTCAAAACAGAAGGAGAAAAAGAAACAAACCCAGAGGAAGTGTTCTATTCCAAGCCCTGAATTAGATTTAAATCAGTTTGCACATCATCAGAGCCTCCTCCGATACCAGAAAAAGATGTGCACATTTTCATTGTTTTTTTTTATAAAGAAACATTTCTCACAAATCACGCTAAACAAACATTCAAGACAAATCACAGGCAGAGAGAAAGAAACAAAACAGAAGAAACAGAAGGCTACAAGCCGTGTTTACTATCTACAAATCTGAAAATCTCTGATTCAGATCTTAAACTTAGACCTCTCCCCCTCTGAACGCTTTGGGGAATACTGACACTTATTTCACAGGGCTGTTGTAAAGACTGCAACAATACACACTCTGAACAACTCACACAAATGTTGAATATTAATACCCCTACATCAGATAACTTAGAATAGCAAACAAAAAAGGCATCTATTAGTGATTTTCTTCACCTTCTATACCTGAAGCAAAACTTACTCAAGAGTAAATCAAGAAGCTAAGCCCCCAAGATAAGTCATAAAGGACAACTCAATTGCTAAATCATTACATGCCATCAAGTTGCTAATTCCAATTTATAGTGTCCTGAATATGGTTGTCAAGATATGTTTGTTAATATTGGTTTTAGAAACCGCCTCTCCTCTTTGGACAAGCAGGGATTTGAATCAAGCACTCCTAGGATGGATGATGCTTTCTCTGCTACACACCACACTGGATCTCAATTAGCCTCTACTAATTAATCAATCAGAGCTGTAAGTTCAATCAAGGCTCGACATTCTCTTTCCAGGGATAGGAAATACGGAGCCCACTTCACATTTGTCAAAGAGGCAACACTGCCCATGGGGAGGGACGCTGGCAGCCACCACCCACCAACACCAGGGACAGCCAAATACTGGCCATTGTTGATCCAATTCAGGACGGTCCTCAGCACCTGCAGGTCTTAACGGTGGACATACAAAGGCCGGAAGCAGCCTTCTGCTTTCTTCCTCTCTCGGCTTGTTCCTACAAAATGGTGGTCCACAGGAGAAAACCTCGCGCCATTCACCTGCACTTCCTAAGGCAGCCCCCATATTCCACTGACTTTGATGGTTTCCCTGGTGTAGACGGTTTCCCCCAACTCTGCTTTTCCCCCTGGGAGGTTTCCCTTGAAAACCCCACCCCGTTTCCTCAGTGGTTAGCCTTCCCACACAGGTTAGGCTGGCCGGCCTTGCAAATTCAGAGGACACCTGAGGGTTATTGCACTGATACGTTTAACCTCGGATTTTGGAAAGCCCTGGGGGTGGGGGTCTCTGGGGCATGGATTGATTCCTGACTGGTGCCATCATTCCGTGTGAAGTTGGGGGGGATCTCGGATCACCAGCACAACATATTAATTCTTAAGACCTTGGGTTCCCAGATGTTCTTAGACTACAACTCCCAGAAGCCTTCCCACTGGCTATGCTGGCCAGGGGTTGTAATCCAAGAACATCTGGGGACCCCAGATTGGGAGCCACTGACTTAGACTAAAGCCTGCAGGTCAGGCCCCTGTGATGGGCTCGTTAGCAATTACTGCAAAACAGTGTCAGAATGCATGTGAGAAGGGGGGGCGGAGATAAAGAGATAATACAGAGTCTCAATGACGAATTTAAACCATCAGTGAATTCCACTGCAAGGTAATGAACAAGACACGGGTGCTCCTGAGCATGTCTAAATTCCATACCCTGAAACTATGAGAATGAATGTCCAAATCTTGGGTTTCCAGACTGGAAGCACCTTTTTCCCTGAGGTTTCAAACCCCAATGTCGGAGATACGGGGAATGGCACCTTAAAATCCGGCCTCTTTTTCTCTTCTGATCTGCGGGGTGAACGTTCGCCCCATCCTGGTCTTCACCATTTCATTTCCGCTAGGCATAACTTCCCCGCTCCCTTCTCGTTTTTAAGCCTCACTCCCCACCTCAAAAATGTGCCGGACTACAGTTCCCATCCTCCCCCCTTGCAGGCAGAGGATAATGGGAATTGTAGTCCTGCTCAGAGAGACGGCGGTAACAACATTTTAAATAAAAATGAACAAAGGCGTTTCGGCTCACAGAAGGTTTTTCTACATTCTGATAGTGGCTGAACATCTTGAGCCCTCGTTTTTTGGCTCACAGAAGGCTTTTCTACATTCCGATAGTGGCTGAACATCTTGAGCCCTCGTTTGGCTGTTCCTACGGAACCTCAGATGGAACAAGTTGTTGCTTAATTGCTTTAAAAATTTTTTTCACAAGGCGTTTGTCATGCTTTCAATAAGTGGGGATGGTTACCATTAAAAGGCTCAGGGGGTAAGAGGGAGAAGCCTCTCCTCCCAGGACTTGCAAAGGCCTGGGGCTTTCTGGGTTTTTGCCTCATTAGCCATTTCCAGGGCTTGTAGGGGGCTTAGGTTTGCCTGCTCAGCAGAGATTTTTCCTGCCCTTTCATTGGGAGAGACAGACTGACAACCCCCCCCCCAAGCCACACTGAAAATTGCTGGGATGTGTATACAAAAAAAGAAGGGGAGAAAAGCAATTTTCTCCTTGTGCAGCCCTTTGGGCTAAGGCAGAAAACGTTGCTTTTTTTTCTGTGATCTTCCACCAAGAAAGCCATCCTCAGAAAAACAGGCAAGAACGATTGGCTTCGGGGTGGGCTGGGGGGGGTCTCTTCGAACAGGAATTCGTCTTCTTTGATTCTCTTTACAACGGAGAGGCAATAAGTTGCTTCCAGAATCTGCTTGCCAGCACAACCCCTGCTCTCTGAGATATAGCCCAACTCTTGATTGATTGATATCTACCTATCTATCTTGGCTTTATCTTAAAAGGACCCAAGGTGGCTTACATTATGATAAAGAAACAATATTAAAAGCTTCAAAAAATTGAATTATTACAATAAAAGGACCAAAACCAATGTATTAAAAACAGTAAATGAAAAACAGTACTAAAAGCATGTTTAAAAGCCCCAGGGCACAAACAATCCCATTAAAAAAAAACCTCTCTCAGGCAGCCAGTTACTGAGGTCAACCCTGGCTAAAAGGAAAAGTTATGGTAAAGAAACAATATTAAAAGCTTAAAAAAATTGAATTATTACAATAAAAGGACCAAAACCAATGTATTAAAAACAGTAAATGAAAAACAGTACTAAAAGCATGTTTAAAAGCCCCAGGGCACAAACAATCCCATTAAAAAAAAACCTCTCTCAGGCAGCCAGTTACTGAGGTCAACCCTGGCTAAAAGGAAAAGGTCTTCGCCTGCTTGAGGAAGGACAGCACCGATGAGGTCAGGCTGGCCTCCAGTGGCAGGGAGTTCCAGTTTCGTGTCCCTGCCAAGTGTCTCTGTGACGTCTCTGAGAGTTGTGGCTGATAAAAGGAACTTCTCCCACCTCTGCTTTATAGCCATTTCAGCAAATATGTTGGTCTATTCCTGCTCTGCAGGTTCACCCCATCCCTACACCAAGCATTTTCACTGGACCATGATGGCGGCCGCCATTTTGGAACCGTAAGAGTCACAAAAATGATGGCCCTGAAAGCCTTTCACTAGTTGAGGACCGGATCCCCTGAAGGACGGTGCTTATTTCTACACATCTACTTGGACCTCCAGGTGAGATCCTTGACCAGAGCGATGGACTAGGTGGGACTTGGGTTCAAGTCCCTGTCCGACCACAACACTGACCAGGTGACCTTGGGCCAGCCAACATGCTCTCTTTGCCAGATCTACCTTACAGGGGTGTTACGTGGATGAAGTGCAAAGAGGAGAGCCAAGCACTCTGCCTGGAGTTCCCTGAAGAAAAGCAGGACAAATACGTAATGTATCATTAATAAACCAATTAAAGCCGTCTATAAAGGCCCCGTTGGCCTAATTGCCATCAAGATCCCCTTGACTCATAAGGCCTCCAGGCACAGCCCTGGATTTCCAGAACATTTCCTATCATTAATAAACCAATTAAGGCCATCTACAAAGGCTGTTTGCCTAATTGCCATGAAGATCCCCTTGACTAATAAAGCCTTCAGGCACAGCCCTGGATTTCCAGAACATTTTCTCATTCTTTCAAAGGAAGTAGGCTTTCAAAGTGCTGCCCTAGCTCGGTGGGTTGGAGAGCCTGGCTGTGGTGCCTAGGGCCATGAGTTTGAATCATCTCCCCTTGGGAGAGGGGCTTGTGAGATCACGCGAAAAACACATCGCTGAGGAGGAGGCTGCATGCCCTGCAACGGGTGTCACCTCCGACAACCTGTATGGTCCCAGAGCACCCTCAGAAGAAAATACTGATCAACTGCACAACGTGGTTTACTAAAAAGGAAAGCCTGAGAAGCATCTAATTGCTGACCAAAATCCTTTTGGGATTTTACACAGATGAAACAGAAATGGCATAGCATTTGGAGGCAAACTATATCAAGTTAAGCAATCATCACAGACATTATCTATTGCATGCCAAATTGCACAACCCAGTATGCAACATATAATGTCCGTGGCGATTTCATAACCTGAGGTAATTAATCTCCAAACGTTATGTCGTTTGCATTATGACTGCAGGTGCAATGAACAGGATTTTGGTCAATAAAGATTGGAACTTTTTGGAGGGCTTCCTTTTGTGACTGGCTAAAAGTTTTGTGTCGTTCCTCCAACTGCTAATCCTTTTGGCTGGAACCATTTTATATCTATTTTTTAAGTTGCACAGGTTCTCATTGTAATCGTCAGCTATTTTAGGAACGCTTTATGCTCGAAGTTGGCATACCAGTTCCTTACATAAATATACAATAAATATAATACTATAAATCAAGAGGGAATGTTCTATTGTGATCCATGAGGAAGAT